CTACTTTACCCCCTCTTCTTCATATGCCTGACAGAACCAGACTTGCCAAGCTGGAGCATCGTGTCAGTTGGGGTAGAAGCACAAAAGCACAATAAGAAGCAGACGTCACAAAATGATCCTCTAGCACAGAGGACAAGTATCCAGAATCAGTAGAAACGATCACTGGAGCGACAGGTCGGATCCAAAAAGTTCGTTTCCATCAATAACATCCTCATCAGGCGGGGGTTAGGCCCCGTTTGTTCGCTCTATGCCGACTTAGTTGGGAAACCAAGACAATAAAACTAGGTATCAAATTTCCACCCTCTCTGCACATGTCAGACACGGTTGAGGGTTTCCTAACTCAATAAGGCCAGACTTTCTGATCCGGGAGAATCGTGTCTATAGGTGTCTTTGTAGAAGAACAAAGTAAAGACCAATCGTCGCAAAATGGCCCTCTGGCGCAAAGAAAAAGTACTCAACAAGTTAGTCCTCATTAACTTTACATTTTCGGCTGTGCAGAGTCAGTCTCACTTAGCTTTCACACTCCTCTTGAATTTTGGTAGCAGGTTTTCACCAATATATTATATACCGGAGATGCAATGTGTGGCCAGGCATGCTCTTGCACTCAGTTGAAATTCAACAGAGCAGCTCGTGGGGAACAACAAAATATACCTTAAGACGGGCGTGAGAACACGTGCATTGAAACAAATTGTCATCTAACAAGCCGAACTGGAATTGATAGTTAGGGTGCATTTTAAGTGGATCAACAGAAGGGAATGAGATGTTGCGTTAGATATAAAGGGAACGCGCAGAGACGGGTTAAACGCACAGACTTAAAATGCTGCCTTTGTAGAGGGGTTAGTCTTTTCGGAAACAATGTAGACAAACGACTGAAAAAATATGTTGCGGTTACTGGCTAATGGAAGGTAGGATATTTAGAGATACGTCGCCTGTGCGAAATAGCAAGGCTGTTTACCTCATCTGCGACCCGAGCTGTCAGATCCAGCTTTTCCGACTGTCGACTGGCAAGAACCTTGGCAACCGCTTTCTCGGAGTCGAGTTTATCTGTACGAAGCTTCCGCTTAGCGCACTCGCGATACCGATTCTGCTGCGCGATTACAGCCTCGGATGCGCTCAAGGTCTCCTGCATTGAGTCTAGGCAAAAGTGAACAGAAAGGAAAGACTCAGACTGAGGCGCAAAC